CGCACACTCTCCCGCCCCCAGCCTGGCTCAGCGCACAGACATGCCGCTCCGGAATTCTGCCCTCTGCCCCACTTCTGGCCCTCCCCTCGGAGGGGGGTGGGGGTCTTTAAAGAGACAGCGTCCTTTTCCGCAGCCGCCCCTTAAGTTCCAGGGACCCCTGTGTTAACTATAATTTCCAATGTGCAGACAGCCCAGCCTTTAAACACACCTTGCTTCTTGGGGGGGACACATCACATTTTCCTTAAAAAAACACATCAGAAAATGCAGTACTTTTGCCAGGGTCCTATTTTCTGTTCTTATACTCTGCTCCGCCTTTCGGGGACCTTGGGAGCGAGCATGCACCAATGCTACGGTCTGCCACGCTGCCGCGATGACCTCGTAATTCACTCCAGGAAGCGAGTCTGAGCTCAGGGCATGGCGAGCCAAGCCGGGGGGTCACGCGGGGTCACGCTGGAGCGGGCCGGCATGGAGCGGCTGACGGCTCCCACATTCCAGTCACAGGACCGGAAGCAGTGGGTCGCAGTGGCCGTGCGTCCCAGCTCTATCTGCCGCTAATGACCGGCAGTTTAAGCTCCGAAAAAAATGCCCCCAAGGGCACTTCAGGTTAGTCTGTGGAGGAAAAAGAAAGGCAGAAATAATACTGTTTGAGATGGAGTGCATAGATTTTTTTAAACTATTAAGGACGCGCCTTTATGAAGCGCACGGCGGCCACAGAAAGGCCGGCGTGGCTGCGGCGCGCGCGGGAGCCAGGGAGCGCTGGTGCGTGCACATCGCGCGCGTTTCCGCCAGCCGCTGGAGCGTGTCCAGCGTTTCCGTGGCGACCGCACAACACAGCGAGACAATCGGGACCGCGGCGGCAGCGCGGGGCCCACGCGGTGGTGGGAGAGGACATTAACACAGGAACTATGGGTCAGGGGCCAGCCAGAGCCAGGCAGTGCCGGGGGGAGGGGGTGGGATGGGTGGGGGGGGGTTGCGCGGGAAGAGGGGGAGAGGGAGAGAGGAGAAGAAAAGGGAGGACAGGAGGAAGACGGGTGTTGTTCATTTTAAAGGTGTAGGTGGGGGGGGGTGCTATGACAGAGGGGTCATGCCCACCGGGTCGCTCTGTACCAGAACTGCACACCGGATCGAGCCCAATGAACCGCCGGTGTTTACCAGGAGAGCCCAGAGGAGGCGTGAGCACAATCACATCCGCGTCTCCCAGCGAAGGGCTAAAAATACGCCTCTCCTTGAGCCTCCTGGTGCGTGCTCTGCGTCTCTGCGCCACAGGCCCCCAGCGCTGTAATCCCCCCCCCCCCCCCCGCCTTCTCCACAGCGGCTCCACTCAGCTGTGTCCCTTCTCCGCTTTCCTCGCCTGTGACCTCCACCCCCAAGCAGGGGGGTGGGGGTGGTGGGGGAGTGGGAGGTGGGTTGGGGGGGTAGATAATATCAGACTGAGAGCGTGCCCGGGCTGCCGTGGCGGGAAGCCGCTCTGTAGGGCCGGCACTTGGGTTACGATGTTGACTGAGGCTGGAGTGTGTCCACAGACTGACCGCTTTCCATGGCAACCGGGGTCCCGAGGCGTGCCTGGTGCCGAGGTCGGCGGGGGGGACAGGCTCATCTTGCCGGCTGCTCGCGGTTCACTGCCGTTTTAATAACCCCCCCCCCCACCCTTCTTACAGGCAAGGTCCCCCAGACGCCAGCCGCACCCCAGCAGGCTGAAGCCAGCCGCACGGGGGCCGAGGCTGCGGGGGCCGAGGCTGCGGGGGGCACCGTCGCAGGCCGGGGCCGTGTGGCGCAGCTCAAGAAGACCTTCAGCCTGGCTAACAGTCCCGGGACCCCGAGCCGTACCAAACCCCCTGTGCCAAATAAGCCCCCCCACCTGCTCGCCTCCCCCTCGCTCAGGTAATCCCTGGGCTACGGACACCCCTCTATGGACACTGCCCCCCCCCATGGACTGCAGGCCATCTCTGGAAAAAAAAAAAAACTACATGCATAGACACAGTGTTGGGTCTTTTTATTAAATTTTCCATCCATCCATCCACCACTTTCAGCCACTTATCCTGGTTGTGGTCACGGGATTATTAAGTTATTAAGTGTTTCAATTTCATTTTGGTGTCGCTTTTGGAATAATGTGCTAAATAATGTTTCCTTTTGTTTACATTTTTATGGTATTTGTAGTATTGCTGTCAAAGGGAAAAAAAAAGCCAAAGAAATGTTTCATACACTGATCTGTGTGCGTTTGATCACTGGCCCCACCCTGAGTGTGCTGCGCGTCTCACTGCCTCTGAGGGTTTAATGCGATATGTGTCTCACAAGGTGAGTGTGTGGTCTTTGCCTCATCAGCGGTGGATGGAGACACTGGCTCCCCTCCAGCGTCAATTTGCTGATGAGTCTCCTTGGGGCACCTGTACAGCCACCCCCACCCAACAGCCACGTCTCTCGATAAGCCACGGCTGCTGTCCGCACCTCAAAGGGACTCGTGGAGCATGTCCCGATCCAATGTTGCCTTCGCTCTAAGACCCCATGCCCAACAGGAGTAGATCCAAGTCTGGCTCTATCTCATTAGTTCCGGTTCTGTGGCTGGTGGTGGCGGGTCGGAGCCGAGTTTTGATCTTGACCTAAATGCAGATCCGCGGCACAGAAACGGCGGCAGTGGCGGCTCAGATGGAGCTCCTCTGAATCTCCATGCGGCCTTTGAATCCTCAGCTCGCTGCGGAGGGAGCGAGGCCCCCGGACAGCTGTGCCCACGGACGGCCGGGCCACCCAGCCACCCACCAGATCCGGAATCTTTCTTGGACCCAGCAGCCTGTGTTCATTAAGCATTTCCTGGCACAAAGGAACGGGCCATGGCCCAACCTGGTGGTCCCAGCTAAATGCCAAATCGACCCAACTGCCTCAACCATCACCACTGGCTGGGTCCAGTTTGAAGAGCTGCCTGGTTCTCCTTGACTTCCCATGAAAGGCTCTATGTGGTGAACCTCAGTGTGGTGTTGGGCTCTGAGGAACATCTGCACGTCTTCCATGTGTCTGCAGCACTGCCAGACCATCATCTCTCATTAGCTCGTCACATGACCACAGAGACTGACCAGCTGGACGGTCGAGTCCCCTCAGCCCCGGAAACCCATCCTGAGGGCTGTAACTGCTGTTTTGGTTACCATATCCTGAGCAGCACATGGCCTGGGCTCAGCCTCGCAGACGACGGCACGCCGACGCTCGCCATCAGGCCGCATTTCACATGCGACGCTGAGGGTTTGCGACTCCGGCATGCAGCACGCGGCTCATCCCCTCGCCGGCGCAATAAAGTCGCTAATCTCCCAAGCTGCAGTCACGTGATCATTCCAGGATGGTGCAGGGGGCACTGGGGTCCTCCCCACAGGGGTAAATCCTGTCAGGAAGGGGGGGGGGGGAGAAATGTCATCCAGGGTACCTTGCTCATCTTAGAGGGAGAGAGAGGGAGAGAGAGAGAGAGAGAGCATGGCTGGGGCCCTGGGTGGATTTCACTAGGCTGCCCTCTGCTTGCAGCTCACAGCAGAGTGCGGAACCGAGACGGCGGAACGCGGCCAAGCAGGAAAGAGCGAGAGGGAAGGGATGGACAAAATGGAGGGATGAAAGTAAGGAGGATAGAGCGGGAGAGGAAGCTGATCTTTCGGTGATCTGGCCTCACCTGTAACTTCAAAGGCGTGGTGCCACACAGCCTGCGTTTATTTGCGTTTGGCTTGTTTTTGAACTTTCTCGGCAGTTACCGTTTTTCGGTAAGCAAAACCCCGTCCCGGCTCGGCCATCCTGCCCGGTTCTGTTCTGTTCTGTTCTTCCTGGCCCGGTTCTGTTCTGTTCTGTTCTTCCTGGCCCGGTTCTGATCTCCTGGGTCCTGGAGGCAACAGAACCTTCCGCTTCTGCGCCCACAATAGCGGCGGCTGTTCTCCGGCATGCTGAGACGCTGCGGAGGTGCTTCCGGGCGACCGGGGGCTCACAGCTACCCCCCACCCCCCCCAAAGCCGCCTCCCTGCCCCCCCCACCCGCTACCCCGGTATCCTCTGATGGGAGATAAAAGGAGAGAGAGACGAGTCTGTCTGCCTTGCCCAGGCTGTGTGTGTGTGTGTGTGGGGGGGGGTCATGTATGGATTATGTTGTAGGGACCGAATGTCCCCGCAATGTGATAAAAAAACTGCTATTCTGACATGGTTGTTACAATTTTTTTGGTCCCCGCAAGGGGAAATTCAATTAAATAAAAGTCTGTGACTGTAACCAAAAACTAAAAATGCCAAAATTCCTTGTATTTTGTTTGGTTACTTATGGTTAAGGTTAGGGCTGGGTAGGGGTTAGGGTTGTCATTGTAGGGATTAGAGTTTTCCCCACAGAAATCAACGGTGAGTCCCCACAAAGATATGAGTACAGGTCTGTGTGTGTGTGTGTGTGTGTGTGCGTGTGTGTGTGTGTGTGTGGGAGGTTGGGCAGGTCCTCGGTCCTGGTTACCCGGGGACAGGCAAGTGACACATGGACCGAGCGCCATGCCCCGCGGCGCCCTCCGCAGAACAGTCCCACCGCGTCGCCGTGATTCATCCCACCGAAAGCACAGGGCCGGGGGCAAGGGGGCTGCAGCAGGGCGGCGCATTGCACCCCAAGGGGGAGGCCGCTCTCTGCCCCCCCCCCACCCCCCCACATCAAAGCTAGCTCTGACGGTATGGGAAATGGGGTCTGATCAGAACGGCGTGACCGACAGACGGCCCAGTGACTGACGGGGAGTCCGGCTCCTGTTTACCCCCCCTGTTCCCCCCACCCCCCCAATGCGAGGAGGAGTCTGTCATGGTCACTGCGCACCTCCTCCCGGCTCGCCGCCGCCAAACAACCCAATCGGTGGCGAAGCCACGTTCCCCATGCCGCAATCTGCCCCTAATGCCCCCTCCCCGCCGTTCAGAACGACGTGTCCCCGGGCACAGCCTCCCCGTCGTCCCCATTGATAAAACGAGCCGTGCATTTATCTCTGCCAGGCGAGAGGAAAAGTCAATGTGAAGTGTGAGGTGCACGTACCAAAGGCTGCGAGAAAGTTTCTAACAATCCACTGGATCAATACAGGAGAGCCATGTCTATGGGGGCCCCTGATTGGCTGGGCTGCCGCTCAGGGGCGGAGCCACGAGCCTCCGGAAGCCACTCCGTCGCCCGCTTTAGCTGTTTGTTGTTTCGTTAGGTGATTATCTGGGTGGAACATTAGCACCTTTTTTGCTTTATCTGGGATCTGTAGCTTTGTGGGGCAGTTGTGTGTGGAAAGGCGCTATACAGTAATGAGCCTAATTGAAAGAACCCCCCCCCCCCAGTGGGTGACGGATTTGGTCAACCTGAGGGGGGGCAAGGCCGCCATCGGGAAGACAGAGGGTTAAAAGCCCCCACGTTCCGCTCCGCGTTAACCGAGAAGGAATGGCGTGTCAAGTGTGTGCTCACCGCAGCAAGACGGTCAGAAACCACCCCTCCCCACCCGCCCAGCTACCCCCCCCCAACTACCCCCCCCAGGCAGCCTCTCACAGGCGTGACCAAATTATTCCACGGCCCACCGAGATCCGCCCCGCCAGATGAAATGCGCCTGATTCAGTGTGCAAACACGCGGCTCGTCCAGCCACCCCTACGCCCTCTCTCACATGGCCGCCCCCCCCCCCCAGGCCCTCAGGTCTCGCCGGGCCCCCTCCTGTCCCTGTCCGTCTCTCCTTAAGAAGTGAAAATGGCTGAGAATCCAGGGGGTTGGGGCGCCGTGTTTGTTTTCGTACGCAGAAAAACGCAGCAGAGGAAGTGAGTGAGGAGGAGCGCGTACATTCGAGACAGGAGATAAGGAGGGGAAAAAAGGGGGGGGGGGCAGAGCCCCACCAGCGGCAGGCCCTACTGCTCTGCCAAACTGCTTAAAAAAACTCTGTTTTATTTATAGTGCGCAGTATCCATGGCAACCAGAGAGGTCAGGAAAGCTGGGCCCGCGCTCCGCGGCGGCTCTCAGATGTGCGGAAGGTGGGCTAGCAACCCTACACGGCACCCGGCGGGAGAGGGGGCACCGGGAATGCTGGGAAATGCGGCGGAGAGCCGAGAGGCGCCACCGCTAACGAGTCGCTGGCTGCTTTGAGGTTCGGCGAGGAGCCCGTGCGACACGGAAATGGTCACCCCTTCCTCTTTGGCTCAGAGACGCGCTTTCGCTGGGTAGCCCATGAGCTGGGAACTGACTCCACTGCCACTCAGTGCTGCCCGCGGGCTCTCTTTGTGGGGACGGAGGTGCCATCTTACTTTCTAGGGAAGGGAATGTGAAAAAAAGCACAGAAGTTCTCTGATAAGAGTTTTGCACCTTTTCACGTTATTCCTCTGAATGGGGGCCGTTTGGAGAGATGGGGGCCATTTGGATCCTGACGGGAGGTGAGGACACTTTCCAAAAACATCCCAGTATTCAGCCATGGCAGCAAAACTACAGGCACACAGTTTTGGGATAAGTTCTTACAAGTTGTTTCACGGATAATATAGTTCTAGGATTCAGGTACAAAAAAAACATGATGCGTGACCTTGGAAGCGTGACAAACTCAGTGTGGCCGTTGATTTCTGTCCCTGAGACCAAGGGACAGTGACATTCACAAGCTTTTCCATGCAGTATGACTGGACGGAGCTTCCAGATCGTGGCTGGTGTCGTTCAGAGGGGCCGGACGTTGGCATGACACGGTCGCTGTTGCTAGGTGACAGCCGGTTTCCCGGGAACACGGCGTAACTCATCCGCTAAGTGACCGCGGCCCTCGGGTTGTTGTGACACGGGAAGATTGTCGGAGCACAGCTTGTGTTGCTAGGAGACGGGGCCCATGTCGCGGAAGATGGCGGCAGCGTAGAAATTAGGTGACCGTTAATCGGATAGAGGGGTTTTTCTCCCTCTCCCTCCTTGCTGGAGCCGAGCCAAAGCGATTTTCATGGCCGTTCGCCGGCTGCGGTCAGATGACCATGTCGTCTAAATCCTGCACCACACCCGTACGCCCCTGAGCACGGCCCCCCAGGCCAGTGGGCGCTGAGACGTCCTCGCGGAGACCTGTTTAGATCTCGCTCCGGCGTTTCGGCGAGCCCCCGGAGCTGGGGGGGGGGGGGGCAGGCTAACATGGCTGGCACCGGACCTCCGAACACCCAAGTGGGGGGAGGGGGGGGGGTTGGAAAGCTCATTAGCTCCTTGTGGCGACGGCGACTTTGAGCGCAGATCAGAGGGGGCCATCCCTGGAAGCAGCTC